TCGTCACATATGACTAACACATTATGATTTTGCTGTTCATTTCAATTGCTACATCGAATGGTCGAAATTTATTTCAACATAGCTATACCAAATGAGCCAAGTCTATAAGAAGAAATGAATGATTATTCAATGAAAAATCAAGAATGGTACAATCTACCATTTTCATTTTCAATTTACCAAAATATTATAATTTCAAATACTTAACCCACCTCCCTGATTTTCCTAGTATAACACCCTTCTATAATTCTACCCCATACCAGAGTTCTTTTCTTGAAATTAAATGTTCTTAATTATTTATATTTAAACTATAGTTCCACATATAATCACACATACACTCGTGTGTATGTGTGTGCTTAATGGATAGATAGTTATTTAATAAAAAATACGGTTCAAATCCACCCAATGTAAATAATTCTCGGCATTTTCCTTTGTTCAAGTTGTAATAGCACGACTCAAATTTTAATAATTCTTGGTCAATAGATTTTGAAATTATATATAACCACATGTCAATCTAGCTAGTAGTAGTGTTGAGTTTTAATTACAAAATTCTGTTGCGAAATTGTTCCTATGTCTACCCTAACATACGATATAACCTTCTTGATGTAGTAGAGAAACACCTGCAGATTGTTCTCTTGTGAAAAAAATATTTTCGTATTTTACGAATTGTATAAAAATACGAGAACGAATATATATAGCACCAGAAGTTTCACTACTTCCGAGTCCTGAACTTCCCAGAATGATCTGAATAACTATAGGAAAGTGAGAACTTAAAGAAATTAAGCAATGCACAAAGCAACAAAGCCGAAGAGAAACTGTACGGAAAAAAAAATATACTACTACTCCATACCATTACGAAAACGAGAAACTAAGATCAGTCGCAGAAACAAGAAAGCAATAACAAAAACAACATAGCAAGTTTAAACATATATCCTTAAAATCCAACAAACACAGAATAGCAGTAATCCATAATAAAGAACATAAATCCTAAGCAACAACAGATACGAATTGAAACTTATATACTACTAGAGTTTGAAGATGTTATATCTACGATAATCAGCCTTAACAAATCAAACCAACTAAAAACGAACACCATTAGCATTTTTTAAGCACGCTCGCCTCTGATCCTACGAGCCAACTGGATGTCTTTAGGCATGATGGTCACACGCTTCGCATGAATGGCACACAAGTTTGTGTCTTCAAACAGACCGACGAGGTACGCCTCAGCTGCCTCCTGAAGTGCCAACACAGCATGGCTCTGGAAACGAAGATCAGTCTGCACAAAAAAAAAAAAAAAAAACATGTAATAAATCAGACAACACTGTAAACTTCAATCGAACGAAATACTTTTTAAGGTATCGGGTTTTTTTTCAGCCGACCAACCTTGAAGTCCTGGGCAATTTCACGAACAAGCCTCTGGAAAGGCAACTTCCTGATCAGGAGCTCAGTACTCTTCTGGTACTTGCGAATTTCACTGTGTCACGGATTTAAATAAACAAGATTTTTAATAATCAACAATAAATAACAGAGAATATATATCATCTCTAGGGGATTAAATAATCCCGAGTTATTGCCAAGTAAAAACCGATAATATTATGGAAGTCAATATTCTTGCAGTTATTGCTACAGCAGTATTCATTCTAGTTCCTACCGCCTTTCTACTTATCATTTATGTAAAAACAGTTAGTCCAATTTATCAATTCAATTGAATTTTCAAATTCAAATTAATCTGTACTCAAAATCTAATTCGATAAAGAGTTACTACTTACCGAAGAGCAACGGTTCCAGGGCGGTAACGGTGAGGCTTCTTCACTCCACCAGTGGTTGGGGCAGACTTACGGGCAGCCTATGTATATAATCAAGAAAGGTATTATTAACATTAGAACATTGATTCAAAACCACACAATAGATCTAAAATCTGAAATTTGCACACGATTTAAAGAAAGATAAATACTAGATTAGAACCTTAGTTGCGAGTTGCTTTCGTGGAGCCTTTCCTCCAGTTGACTTACGAGCAGTTTGCTTGGTACGGGCCATCTGTACGCATATCAAGACAACAATTACTCTCATTTTCAGAACATAATCAGAAACAAATAACAAGCCAGTATGAAATTAAAGTGAAAGAAGCCAATACAAATCTCACGATATCAGTATTAATCAGGGGAGATAAGAAAGGTGTAAATCTAGGGTTTGGGGGATTTGACAAACAACAGAGCAAAGTTACTACCGATTCCGATGGCGTTTTGGTAATTAACAGTAGGAAAGGTTATGCACATGCATTCAAGATACAATGCGCACATCCGGAAAGCCAATTTCACTAATAAATAATCAAAATCCCCAAATTTGCGAAATCAAATAACCCTAATTTTTAACAAAATTATGAATGTAACACATAATTCTGATGTGGGTCAAGGAAAAAAACCGAGAAATCGAAGATTTGGCGTCAACATAGAACACGAATGAAGCTATATCAACAATGAAACGTAACCCTAGAATCCTAAATCGACATCAATTCATCGCTAAATAACCTCAGCCCTACCTATAATTCCAAAATACATGCAACACGGAGGAAAGAAAAAAAAGAAAAAAAAAAAAAGCGAAAAATACGAAGAGAAGAGCAGAAGAATCACCTCGCTTGATCTGAACTCTTCTTTTTCGTGCTTTTGTGTATTCTGTTCTTTGCGAGCGAAAAGGGGAAAATCTAATGGGGAAGAAGGATACTGTTTATTTATAAGGAGGGGAAAAGTCTGTGATTTATGATTTATTAATATGTTTTAATTGGTGGAATCTGACGGCTACGGATAGGCCATATTGTGTTTCTTTGCTGTTAATTATACGGCTCAGATCAGATGTTGAAGGTGTGACGAGGATCGTGTTCGCCCAATGCTCGACTCTTATTGGTTAATTTTTAGAGACACGGATTCCGTTCTTTTTCTTTATGATTTGGAAACTTTTGATAGTTTGTCAAAACAAATCTGAATATCTTGATATATTAATAATTAAATGTTTTTATTTTTATTGTTTCATTTGGTAGTAATTGCTGAAGCCACAATCATTATCTATAATATGTGTGACAACGGATTAAAAAAAAAAAGTTTGATTTGGTCCAATGTAATAGTGCTTGTAATTTTATAAAATTAATAAATTATGCAAAATAAGAATAATCACTTCTTGTATTTAAAGGATTAAAGCTATAAATTGACAGGCATTTTCACAGAATCACACATGACAGCAGATTTCTAAAATTTCCACATAACTGCGTTCGATTTTCCGGTAAACGGTCGAAGTTAGAACCTCCATAAATGTCACAAGACCCTCGGAAAATGTTAAAACTCATGAAATAACATTTAAAAAAAAAAATACAAGTTTCATCTAGCGGCAGCTCTCGCACTCATAGACGTATGATAATTGCTGCTCCTCTGTTTCCTATACGAAGAGTACACATCATCGTACTGGCTCGGCCCGTTTGGATCCGAACTCGCTCCAAGACCCAATCGACCCGACCCGGATTTCCGCTCCACGGATCCATCAGCGCGGGTCCCACTATCCGAGTCCACATTCAGGCCAGGTGGCGGAGGTATACAAGCCCCTCCTTTACGGGCCGAAAAATCCCTCTCGTAATCATAATCATATTCATCATCGTCGTCTCTCGATTCCGTGGGCCCCACAGAGGGATTCACCTCTCCAATCTCCTTGAAGAATTTGGACACTCTCTCGAGCGCTTCGGATGGAGAAACGTTCGAGGGTGGAATCACAGTGGGAATATCGAGTGGGCTCATTGGAGAGTAAGGTACACCGCTGCCTATCTGCATTTTCCGAACCATGCCGGGAATAAGTCCTGGTGGGAATAAAGGGTATGGCGGTAATTTTTCTCCGGTTTGGCTGGGAACAGGAGGCTGGGGTAGAGGCATGGAAGGAATCGATGTTGGGTGGAATTGCTGAGGTGGCAGAGATGGGATTTGTTTGTCGGAATATTCTTGATCGGGCATCTTTGAAATGGGGTTGTGCTTATCGTGTTGTTGCCATTGTAACGAGTTGTAGTTTGCCATCTGATGCATTCCTGTTGTTATCAGAAAGAGAGACTTCATCAAATTCTTTAAGATAATTTTCCATATGGCTCCGTTTGGATCAACGAAAATGCTAAGTAAAATAATTTGGGAGAATAAGGTGAAAATATTTTGACTGTCGAAAACTCATTTTCCTTCCACACAAAAAAAAAAAAAAAAAAAAAAAAAAAAAAAAAGAGTGAGGAAATCTACGCGTAAAAAGCTAGCAGACTTTCCATATTCAATTCCAATAACGGCAGTAATTCATCTCCATGCAGAACCTCAATAATTACGTCTGCTTGGGTAAAGAAAACAATTTTCTACAAAATCAATCCCATCGAACCAAACATACTATAGATTTTCAAATTCTTTGCTTTTGAAATTTTCATTTTTCCTCATTTCGAAAACCACGAACCAAACAGAGCCTAAAAGTTAAAAGGTTGTACGTCGGGTTAGCTAACCTGGGGCGACAGAACGGTCTCCTGAAAAAGAAGATGGGTCTGTGTGAGGACCCGGAAAAGGAGTAGGTGGCAGCCCATTCATCATATCGTTTTCAAACCCGAACATAGTTTCGTGATCGAAGACTTCCTTGGAGGACCAGAATTGGAGGATTTTCTGAATACGCGACTGATTTTCCTCTTTGTTGTGCGGGTTGTGGTATATCCTAGCCAACATAGAACCCAAAACCGGCTTGAACGCAAGTGCCTCGTTATCCATCTCTTGAGGGTTAACCCGCCTCTGCAAGCTGCATTTTTCAGAAATCAAGAAAATGATAACAAAATTAGGAGAAAAAAAGCGAACTGAGATAATGAATGAAGTTAGGAATATGTACATGTTTACATAGAGACTCACATAGTACAGACTAGTTCTAAATTTGTCTTAGAAGAGTGGATACGGTCATTCTTCATATGCAACCAGAACAAAAAAAAAAAAATCCGTACTCGTTTACGTGACAATGTACTTGCATATTTTGAAGATTGCTAAAAATCAACGAACAATATTTTGTATATTCCACCTTCACTCGTCATTTTCCACACCCCAAAACACGAGTAAATCATTGTGTTATTTCAAAGCTTGCATGCTAACAATATTCAGTGCCTTCTATGTAATTTCTAACGCTTCCCGTTTATCAGCTCGTTACAGCTATTAACACATATCGGTCCATACCCTAAAACTAATACCTAAACCGATCTCCAAGTATCTGAAAAAACGGAGTCTTTGATACTAACCGTCCATGTTCTCCAAGAATGAGTTTCTTTTGTTTCTTTTTTTGTGATCAGTTGTCATTGTTTTTCTATTTTGCATTTCCGGCAACATTTTCGGGTAAATTCTCTACGTCATATAACTACTTGATGTATGTTTTGGACAGCAATTGCAGTTTGGAATTCAAAGTGACAGCATGATCAAACATCGTACCCAACTCCAATTAGTTAGCCCTCTATTATACGTTTTTCTCTCTCTAGAGCAAGGAGTATGAAGCATGCAACCATTCAAACAAAAACGTACAAATTATTACACCAATTAATAGGACAGATATAAACAATGCAAATTTCTCATGTATTCAATCATTCTCAACTTTTTCCACCAGATATTACCTTAATTAAACATATAAAAAATTAAGATGCACATCTGCAGGCTAATATTCACACATACAGAGCGCATATGCAACGACAAAAAGTAAAGAGAAAATGCAACAGAGAAAAACTTCCAAAAGCAATCAACGCATACCTGTCAAACAGAATATCATTGGCAAGGTAAACAATATGCAGTTGCCTCTCGGAATCATCGAGAGAAAACACCCGATCACGCAACGCCTCAGCCAGACCAGGTAAGAACGGAGACCTCTGCATAAACCAAGTCTTTGCACCTTTAATCGACTCCTTTGTACCCGTAAGACTGTTGAGAACACCATTCAGCTCCATCTCGATATCCGCAGGAAGCGGTCTAGATAGACCCGTGAAAGGAGGCCTGTAAGGCTGATCGAATCCAGGTCTACTATGGCCGATCAACGGCTGAGAATGATGAGAGTGCTGCTGCTCGTAGTAAGGCTGGAACGGGGGTTGCTGCAGGTGAGCAGAGCCCACAGGGGCAGCATTCGGAGCATTAATCGGGTTGTTAGGTGGATGCAAAGGGAAAGGAGGATTATAGGGTCTCGTTGCAATCCAAAGCTTGTGGCGGTAGTAATTATGGCCTTCGCCGCCAAAAAGGAAACTGTAAGCGGGATTATCTTGCTCTCTTTCGCGGACCACAGCTTCGAATTCAGGCCCGTTTTTGACGGCATACTCGACCAATTTGTCGATGCGTTTTTGAAGTTCGGGGTCGGATGGAGGTGGGGTAGGGGGTGGTGGGTTGGAGTCGTACGGTGCATGGAAAGGCGATGGGACGAGATGTGGAGGTAAGTGTGGAGGGAAAGATGACGGTGACTGTTGATGGAGGTGGGGGTGGGGGGGCAAATGGGGGTAGATTTGGGATTGTTGCATTGGACGAGGGTAAGGGAATTGCTGCTGAAGAGAGGGGTGTGGGGGCAGAAACGGGGGGCCGTGGACAGATGGTGGAAATTGTTGATGCTGTGGATGAAAACCGTACGGTTGTTGTTGTTGCTGCATATTAGTTGCTTGCTGTTGTTGTTGCTGTTGTTGTCCGTACGTCATAGGAGCACCGTAATCATGTGGCTGCCGATCCATTTCGATCGTTCGGGAAAAATAACACGACTTTTGTGCAGCCCCCTTGGAAAATCCCTATCGACGCGTCACTAAAGAAGAAAAAAAAACAGTCGAAATTATCGGTACTAGAACACTAATTTAGCACAACAATCTGCATAATCAACGCAATACACACACTACATGGTGTCATCTAATTTTTTTTTTTTTCAATTTAATCTCAGTTTGAATTTTTACAAATTAACAAATCGATACATTCAGCTCGATTCTCGGCTACTAAATTTATTACTACTAATTTCTTACTTGCTAACCTAAATTTTTACAAATTAACAAATCGATACATATCTTACTTGCTAACCTAAATTTATTATTACTAATTTCATTAAAAATCCAGGAAAAAAAGAAAAAAAGAAAAAAAAAAAAAACAATTCTCAATCTAGATAAAGGTATACGAGTTCTTCAAGATGTGAATTTACATACAAAATTACTGAGTAGACACAAAATTAAGAGAGACGGAAGCAAACTCACCAGAAATCAAATGTTTGATGTTGAGAGCAAAAAACGTAAACCCTAGAATCCCAAATGCGCTAAAATCATAAACAAAACATCAAATTCGATCGCTAATGCGTATTGTTGTGGAAAATCTGACCGTGGGAAATTATTATCGATTTCTTTCATTGGCGGAATCGACGGCCACGGCGGCTTCAGTGAAATTATGGGTGAAAATTGGAATAATTATATGAAAGGGTAAATTACAATCAACCCCTAAGGTATGGTCAAATTACGAAAAATACCCTGATGTTTGGAAAATTACAACTACCCATCAACTATGAATCTTCTTACATATCCACCCTTATAGTGGAATGTTCTCTAGTTTGTACTCGTTTTGTGCAAAAAATACAGTTTTTGATGCACCACAATCTGATATATATACAAGCTAAAAAACACATTTTATGATCATTTTGCTTCAAAATGTAGAGCTAGAATGGGATAAAACAGGTACAAAATTGGGATAACCCATATAATATAGAAGATTCCACTAGATTTGACACCGTAATGGTGGACGCGTAAGAAGATTTATAGTTGAGGGGTGATTGTAATCCCAAACATGAAGGGATTTTTTCGTAATTACACCATAGGGTGGTTGTAATTTATCCACGAACAAATGACGACTTTTAATAAACAGCATGACATAATTTTCAATTATTAATTTTTAATATCATTCCACCTAGGGTGGAAATCGGACGGATTGGATCGGATTTGGGTGTTTCCAAAAATTTCCGATTTTTTTCGGACGTCCAAAACGCCTTCCGATTCCGATTTTTTCGGAAGTCAATAATTGATTCCGATTCCGATTTCTGAATTTTTCATTTTCGGAATTTTTTGGAATTTAACAAGTAATCTTCACAAATAAAAGAGACTCACACAAATACGTTGGTGGTGGTCGTCGGAGAGCCGGGAGGCGCTGGTGGTGGTGGTCTTCAGAGAGCCGGGAGGCCTGGTGGCGATGGTGGTGGTTGGAGAATCGGGAGGCGCAAATGGTGGTGGTCGTCGGAGAGCCGAGATGCGCTGGTGGTGGTGGTGGTCGTCGGAGAATCGGGAGGCACTGCTGGTCGTGGTCGTCGGAGAAGGCGCTGGTGGTGGTGGGGAGAAAGAAAGGTGGATGACTGCTGAGAGAGAGAGTCGGGAAATTAGGGGTTTCTAATAAATTTTGAGTTTTGAATTTAGAATGTTTTAGAAAATTAAAAAATAATATATATATATATATATATATATATATATATAATAATAATTGGAAAAAAATATTAGTAATATACTAATATATATAGTTAGTAATTAGTACAGAACTGCCGATAGATATAGTCATATAGTATATATTATATATAGTAATAAATATTAATAATAATTGGAAAATCGGAATAAATCGGAAATAATCGGAATAATTTCGGACCGAAAATTGGAAATTCCGAAATTCTGTTATGTATTTCCGATTCCGATCCGATTTTATTTCGGAATTTTCGGAAATTGGAATTTCGGAATTCGGAATTGAAAAAGTCGTTCCAAAATCGGAATATTTCGGATCGAATTCGGCGGAAATCGGAATTTTCGTTCCAATTTCCACCCCTAATATTTCCACCCATTTGTCATCCATTTAATTTAGTCAGCAAGATTTCTTTCTATATTTTGCTTGAGTTATTATTAGTTGGGCCAAGATTTCTTCAAATTTTACGAAAAACCCCCTTCTTCAAATTTAACACCGTAAAAACCGACGTGTAGGACAATACATGGTTGATGGGTGGTTGTAATTACCCAAACAGAAGCAACGAATACACACAAACAGTAATTCTTCAAGTCTGTACATTATCCTTTGAATCCAACAAACACAGGATAGCAATAATCCATAAAAAGATCATAAAATCCTAATCAACAAAACGACGAAACTATATACTACCAAGAGTTTGATATCATAACTACTACGATTATCCGTCTTAAAACGAGACAAACAAACTAAAAAAAGATCACCATGCTTATATTTAAGCACGCTCGCCTCTGATCCTACGAATCCAACAAACAAAATAGCAAGTTTTAGCATTTATCCTTCAAATCCAACAAACACAGAATAGCAATAATCCATAAACGACGAGAAATCCTAATCAACAAAACGACGAGACTATACACTACCAAAACTTTGATTGTATTATACTTACGATTATCTGTCTTAAAACGAGACAACAAACTAAAAAAAAGATCACCATGCTCATATTTAAGCACGCTCGCCTCTGATCCTACGAATCAACTTAATGTCTTTAGGCATGATGGTCACACGCTAGCGTGACTCTGGAAACGTAGATCAGTCTGCACAAAAAAAACATGTAATAAATCAGACAAGACTTTCAATTCAATCGAACGAAATATTTTTTAAGGTATCGGGTTTTTTAGCCCACAAACCTTGAAGTCTTGGGCAATTTCACGAATAAGCCGGCAATTTCCTGATCAGGAGCTAAGTACTCATCTGGTACTTGCGAATTTCACTGTAACACAGATTTAAACAAATGAGATTTTTGATAATCAAATAATAAATATAATTTATTTATTGTTTTTAATTATTCACTTCAGTAAAAGAGAATTTTAAGGTATTAAAACTTAAATACAAACTGAATGGTGCTTGAGAGATAAGTGTTATAAATGATAACTTTAAGAGGGTAAGCGTTGCATAGAGTATACTTTAGTGGTGTAATAATAATAATAATTAAAAACTCATTTAAAAAATTATAATTAGCTTCAGATTAATCGTCCATCACAAACTCTAAATATAAAAGTACAAAAAACCTCAACACCAACTGAAAATTCGACTGCGTTAAAAACTCAGTACCTAGAAATAAGGCGACGAAGAAATGGATCACTTAGAATTCAACCCAAACTAGATTCAGTTCGCGTTCCTGTACATGTCCTGACGAAACAAAATTAAAAATAAATAAAATTAAATAACGAAAACAATTAGAGAAACAAGAGGAGCTAGTTCCCGAAATTTTGAATTCTGTAACCTGTTTGGCTGCAGCTCACTGCAATCAAAAATCAAAATTTATTTCGAATCATCATCAAATAGAACTTTGTAAAACCGTTTTCTTTCTTCGGCATCGAATATGCCACCTAGACCACCTCCTTCTTGATCATCGTCTCGTTCACATAATTCTTCATTACTATCTCTCTTCCTTGTCTCTGTTCTAATCGTTAAATCGCCTTTCTTTCTTTTCTTTTCTAAATTCATTAAATAATGCCGCCGATTATACTCATGTAGACCCTCTTGCATCAACTCCCCAAACTTCTCCTTCACAACAACTAACGGATCTTTTTCAATTAATTCCGACCCGTTATACCCTTCCCTAAGTAGAACCGTATATATTTGATACCTGTTCGAAACATAGAATATACCCGGATGCTTGAGCAACAATACGTTCAGTTTATCCGGGAGACAAAATTCCCTTCTAAAATGAGCTAATTTTAGAATAGATGCTTTCTTCCACAAAGTCAAAGATAGTAATTCGTGAACCAAACCTATACTTCGTTTATCCATTTCGACCGATCCTTCAATCAACCCGATCGTTTCTTTATAAGGCGAAATGTACGGACTTGCATCGAACTCTCGAAACCTCTCCCACGATTTAATCCACGTGGGAGGCAACGAACATGAGAAGCGGGGCCCGCGCCCCTCTTTCTTAGCTAATTTCTCGATTGAAGAAACTTCGAAATTTGGGTTTCTTGAAATGAGTTCGATCTCCATCGAACTTCGTCTCCCCGTGTAACTTACGACACGGAACATGTCGGAGTATTTGGGTACAATCCTAAGCAAATAATCGTCCGGAAAACCGAAACTCCTCTTCAACTCGTTAATTTTAAGAACGTTTAGTCTTTGGTTTTTGCTCATCATTAGCAACTTCGCTAACCGTTCCACAAAAACAGGCTCCTGCGAGTCTTTTATAGCTTCTTCCTCTTCGACTAAACACTGCATTCTTTTCGACAGCTGGCAAAAGAGCTCGTCTTTTTCGCGGTACACTTCAAAGCAACAAGGGTACTTCTTGAGCCAGTTGAGTGCCTTCCCTTTAAGATCGAGGGTTTTGAATTTCTTCTGAAGGAATTCGATTGGAGCAACTTGGTTCGGGGATCGGAGAATTATGTTCTTGATTTGATTGTTGACCATCCATCTTCGGTTTCGAGCAAGTGCCGATTCGAGATCCGGTTCTTTCTTCATTGACCACAGAGATAAATTTCTTCGAAAATGAGAAGCGTTGATGTAGAATGTGCAGTATCTTAGGGTCTTAGGATGTACGGCAATCACCATTGTTGTAACCTGTTGTTAATTTCTTCACTGTTATCCGATAATCAAATGCAGAAATGAATCAAAATGTAATCTTTCAATCATCGAGTAGTTATACGGGTAATGAAGGATCAATTAAGAACAGAAAATATGTAATCTCAGTTTGAATTTTACAAAATAACAAATAGACACATTCAGCTCGATTATCGGCTACTCTTAGTGCATTTCTTACTCGCTAACCTAAATTTATATTTACCAATTTCATTAAAAATCCAGGGAAAAAAAACAATTCTTAATCTAGATAAAGGTATACGAGTTCTTCAAGATGTCAATTAACAATTTTACATACAAAATTACTGAGTAGACACAAAATGAAGACAGACCGAAGGATACTCACCAGAAACAAAAAAAATTGATGTCGAGAGCAAAAACCGTAACTCTAGAATTCATACCTAGACGCTAAAATAAATACATTCCGGCAAAAAAAAAAAGGAGAGAAAGTGAAATGAAATTACGAAGAAAAGAGCGACGGAATCACCTCAGTTGATCGGTACTTCGTCTGCCTGCCTTCTCTACTGTTCTCTCGGTGGTGGCTAATGCGTATTGTTGTGGAGAATCTGATGGTCTGAAATTAGGGTCCTTTTGGGAAGATCTAGTTGGGGCTGGGCCGCCGCCTTAGCTGCTTTGGAGTTGTGAAGCTCCGGCGAGGAGACATTGCAGATTTGAATCTCAGAAGATTCGGAGAGAGGGAGAGAGAGAGAGAGAGAGAGAGAGATTCGATGAAGGAGACAGACGAAATTTCTGGATGATTAAATTTGGGGGATTTGCTGCAAATAAATGGTGGGTTCCATCGGTAGAAACATCAGAGATAGAGAGAAAAAAAAGAGAAGGGATGAAGAAAGTGTCAAGGGCAAAAATGTAAAAATACTTTAAAACTAACGGCGTCAAACATTTTAACGTTGACTACAAAAACCATGAATGTGTCGGCAAGATTTCTTTCTATAATCCCTAGAGTTAAAAGCAGAGCCAAATCTTTAAGTTTGAGGACTGAATGTTGAGAGGGGTTTGTCACTACTATTGTACACAAAAGAATTATATTTTTTAACTTAATAGAAATTTGAGAAACTTCTACATTGGCTCAGGATCCGAGTTTGAACTCTCTTGTCAATATTTTTTATACTATACGTAGTTGATGGGTGATTGTACATACCCTATCATAATTTAACCATATCCCGGAATTTGTCCTACTTTTTAAGCCAAGCTCGTGATACATAACTAGCACGGTGTGGTTTGCAATGCACTTCAAACGTTAGGGGTCAAATTTTATTTCAAAATAGTTGTACCTCAAAATAAAAATGGATATTGTAGTTCATAAAGAAGGAAAAGAAAAGATGAGTGTCCAATAAAAGATCAAGAATGGACCCCTAACGTTTGTAATCTGCACCACAAAAAACTCTGATTCATAATCTTCTATTTACCACCATCTTTCTAATTTCAAATGCTAAATTCATTTGCCTTGTTTAACATGTTCCTACAATTCAACCCCATACCCAAGTTCTGAACATGAATCATCATATAATGGCTCCCTAATTTCAAAACGGCTCTAGCTCAACTAAGTAGTAACAAACATTACCAAGAAACTACACCACTGATTTAACATCACAAAAACAAGAAACTGAAGAGCAGCCACAAAAACAAGAAATAATTCAAACAAACAAAATAGCAAGTTTTAGCATATATCCTTCAAATCCAACAAACACAAAATAGCAATAATCCATAAAAGACGATAAATCCTAATCAACAAAACGACAAAACTATATACTACCAAGAGTTTGATATTATATCTACGATTATCTGTCTTAATACGAGACAACAAACTAAAAAAGAACACCATTAGCATGTGTTTAAGCACGCTCGCCCCTGATCCTACGAGCCAACTGAATGTCCTTAGGCATGATGGTCACACGCTTTGCATGGATGGCGCACAAGTTTGTGTCTTCAAACAGACCAACAAGGTACGCCTCAGCTGCCTCCTGAAGTGCCAGCACAGCATGGCTCTGGAAACGAAGATCAGTCTGCACACACACACACACAAAAAAATTGTTTAATAAATCAGACAAGACTTTCAACTTCAATTGAATGAAATACTTTTTCAGGTATTGGGTTTATATTTTTAAGCCGACCAACCTTGAAGTCCTGGGCGATTTCACGAACAAGCCTCTGGAAAGGCAACTTCCTGATCAAGAGCTCAGTACTCTTCTGGTACTTGCGAATTTCACTGCATCGCAGATTTAAACAAATGAGATTTTTGATAAACAAACAATAAATAACAGAGAATACGTATTCATAATGTCGTTAGATAGAAATAGTTACTGACCGAAGAGCAACAGTTCCAGGGCGGTAACGGTGAGGCTTCTTCACTCCACCAGTAGTTGGGGCAGACTTACGGGCAGCCTATATACATAATCAAGAAATGCATTTATAATTAGAACATTTATTCAAAAATCACATGGTAAAATCTGAAATTGGCATTCAATATCTATACAAACAAAATCTAGATCAGGACCTTAGTAGCAAGTTGCTTTCTGGGAGCTTTTCCTCCAGTTGACTTACGAGCGGTTTGCTTAGTACGGGCCATCTGAAACGAACATTACAGCAAAAAATTAACCCTAATTTCGTACATTATAAGATGAAAATTAACAATCCAGAATGAACATCAAGTCAAAAAAGGAGATGCATACTTCATGATTTCAGTATAAACCAGGAGAGCAAACCTTAATTAAAATACTAGATTGAAAAAATCCAGAAAAATCTTCAAATTAGGGTTTGCGTACATTCACCCAATATACTATATGCACATCCACAGAGACAATTTCACGATATGAACCATCAAAATTGCCAGAATTTGGGTGAAATACGTAACCCTAATTTTAACAAAAATCATCAATTGAACATAGTAAATAAGAAATTAGGATAGAATCCAGGAGAGAGAAGATTTGGAATCAACATAGAACACAAATTAAACCACGCGTAAAACCCTAGAATCTTAAATCCGTCAAAATCATAAATCTACATCAATCAATCGCTAACCAACAACACACCTACCTAAAAATCCAAATCAAATACGTGCAAACAAACAGAATTGAAAAAAAAAGTTAAAAAAAAAGTAAGAAGAAGAAAGGAGCAGAAGACTCACCTTGCTTGATTTGAACTCTTTTTCGTGTTTTGCCTCTTCTGTTCTTTTGGGGAGCGAAAATAAAATTTTAAAGGAAAAAGAATGCTAATGCTAATTTATAAGGAGGGTTGCGGTGGTTTAGGCAAATCTGACGGTCAGAAATTGTTATCCGTATGTGTTAATTGGTGGAATCTGACGGTTACCGATGGGGTGTTTTGTGTTTCTTTGTATTAGGTTTACGGCTTAGATTAGATGTTTAATGTATGACGTGGATCAAGGTGGTCGAATGCTTGATTCTTATTGGTTCAAATCTGTAGACACGGATCCCCTTTTTTGCCTTCATGATTTGGAAAGTGATTTTTTTTATCGGGAGGGTCGATTTGTTTTTTCTTGCATAAAAAACACACATCTTTCTCGAGTTAGGTCTAATAAATAAATTAATAAAAATAAAGGTCTAATAAAATAATAGGCAAATTACGGTCAAACCCATAAGGTAAGCTCAAATTATAAAAGCTTCCCTCATGTTTGAGTAATTGCAACTACTCCTCAACTGTTTGTAATAGTTGTGGGTGGTTGTAATTAATCAAACAAAAATATTCTATTAATTTAATGCCTGTTAGTTGAAGATCACATTTTAATACATATTTTTTTCAATTTTTCCTTAGTTCAATACCAACATTTTAATAAATATTAGCTGATAATACAAAAATACCCCTTATTTGAAATATAAAACTTATACAACCCAGAAAAATAACATTTCTCATTTTGATTTATTCAAAACCATATAATTAAAGAAAAATCCCGCATGACATCTCCGCCACCTGGCGGATTTATACACAACCGCCACCGCACGCCCTCCGTCGTCATCGTTCTATCGAAACTTACAAACAATAGTTTTGAAAATTTTGATTGAAATTGATTTTTTATGTTTAGACGCAGGCAATTTTCGACATGTAAATGTCGAAATTTGACATTTTCAAAAAATAAAAAATAAAAAAAATCGACATGTACATGTCGAAAATTTGAGATATTTTGACACGTATATGTCAAAAACTAATGGAAAGGATACAAAAGTAGAAAACCTTAACATCAACTCGATTCTAATATTTTACAAATTACACATATATTTTTTTTTGAAGAGGAGATATATATTATTATGCGATCAATGATAAACAATCCAAACTTAGTAGCAAGAGTATGCGCTAGCTGATTACCAAAACGCTTAACAAATGAGAAAATACATGACTCGAAACGAATAGACAAACGTAAAGACTCCTCGATGTAAGCCCCGTGTGAAGATGACAAGAAAATTCCAACTTCAAAAGGTCATTGATAACTTGCAAAGTTGTCGCCCTCTGTTGAATGACCATCTCAACCAAAAGCTTAAGTTGTTAGTGAAATGTATCATTTAATATTAATATCTCCAATACCCTCCACTATGACGGAATTCCAGGCGCGACAACGAGCTATTGATAATGCCATTAGAGCCGCGTAGGCTTCCCCTTCCGTTACCGTTGGGCATCCCGAAAAATCTGCTCACTGCCCACCAACAGCATAAGCCACCATTCGGAACGAGCTTGAAGCTAGATCAGAATAGAACTTTAGGCTCAAATCTAGGTGTTTTTTTTTTGAAATGTGCTTTAAAAACCAATCATCTGAATCCTCTTTCTTTGACGTCGAAGATTCGCCGGAGTTTTGCCTGAATTAAAAAATTGCATTTCAGTCCCTGACTTAAGGGAGAGAGGGTTTTTCTGAATTTGAAGGGTACTGAACTGAAATTGTTGAAAACTTTATATTGGGGCTTGTTTTCCAAATTTCTATATTTGAGTCTTTTTAGGTTAAAAAACCAACCTCCAGTTGCATATTTTGCGAGTGTATGACACCATCAACTCGGAAGGGCCTTTTTGCCTTTGACTAACTTTAATGGGGGGTTCTAATTGCTATTTTTTCTAACACAGGTGCTTTGATGACAATTAGAGATTACACAGGGGTGGTTAGCGCTAAAATATCGAATAATGTTATTAACATAAAAAAACTCTTTATCTATTTTTCTTATTTACGAAACCCCCCGTTTTTTTTTCCTATAGTTACGTCCACACCATGCGGATTGTAGATTTATTACAATAACATCCTTTTGTAATTGTAGGTGTGGATGTAATAAATTTACTAACCGTAGGGAGCAAGCTAGATGTAATTTCTCAAAAAAGATAAAAGGATTTTTTTATGATTACACTTTAACTCAGGGAGGTGGTTGTAATTTATCCTACTTAAAAAGAGCTTCAATAGCTATTCCAGACCTTGAATAAAAAAAAAACCGTAAAAACCTTATTAGTAAATTTCCTACATCCACTCTATAAAAATGTAAGAAATCTACAATATACAGAAATAGCATCCCCAACATCAAAATTTAATTTATCAAAAAAAAAAGTTTTTTGTAATTACACTTTACTACAGGAAGGTGGTTGTAATCAACCCAACTTAAAAAGAGCTTGAGTAGAGCTATTCCCTAACTTGCGAATAAAAAAAGTAAAAGCCATATTATAATAAACTTTGTTTTCCTATTTTTAGACATTGCTTACATAATTTTGTGTACGAGCTTCGGTAGTTATGATCGAAAATTAGAGCACAATAAAAACATGGTTGTGAAATACTCAACAATTAACTCATTCAGAGATTGAAAAAGTTCCTTAAACAATCGATTCTTAAGTCATAGTTTCATTGCTATATATTCATTTTTTTTCCTTTCAACTTTTTTTCCTCCAAATAGTGTATTTGAGGTGCCACAAACATTCTGGTACTTTTCTTTTTTTATAAATTAAAAAGAAAGTACGAAAATGTTTTTTTCCTACACACTTTTTTAAATCACACATTCAACCCAATTGCAATTTTTCCGTTGACAATAATCCGAGGGGGTCTTTGCAAAACTACATATAAATATATATAATATTAATATATCCATAAAACAAATCTCTCATCGAGCGAAAGCAGTGTTGCTTTGAGCCGGATGAGTAGAAGAAAGGTGGGAGTGGAGAGGGGATTGGTTGCTGGAGAAACTAGATACAGAGCAGGATTTCTGAAAATTGCAATTTGGTCCTAAACCTTTTGAATTCTGTATAAGTTAGTTGTATTGTATTCATAGCTTGATTTTTTAAAATTGCAATTTGGTCCTAAACCTTTTGAATTCTGTATAAGTCAGTCAAAATTGTATTACATTGGGGGGGTTGGTGGCTGGATAAACTAGATACACAGCATGAATTTTGAAAATTGCAATTTGGTCCTAAATCTTTTGAATGTCGGTTGTTTTTTTGGCTGGAAAAAAAACATGAAGGGAGTGATGTGTCTAAGAAGAAATTCCGCCGAAAAAAAATCTTTCAGAAAAGCGTTCGGATAAACGTATATTTTGGTCAATTTCCAGCAAAGGGGCGCCATCGGGTTAGGATTTTGTGTGGAGAGTTTAAACGGGAAGGAGTTGATTTGGGGGAGGGCGTTTTGAAATTGCCAAGGACTGAATTGAAAATTCTGGAACTTTCATTTTGGCGTAATGAAAATTTTACGGTTAATCTGTAATTTAAACTTTTTTTTGATTTAAAGGTTATTTAGTTCTTTTCAGGTCAGAACACGCACCCCAGCCATGAGGGACCTTAATGGCTTTGACTAACTTTCATAGGGGAGTCCGTGCTAATTTCTTTAACACAAGGGATTTTTCAGCAATTAGAGATTACATAAGGGAGGTTCTTGCAAGAAAAACCTTACAACCACCTCATTGGGGTAAAATGTAATTATAAAAAAGTTCATTTTCTTAGAAATTACATCTAGCCTCCTACAATTAGTAAATTTCTTACATCCACTCCTACAAAAGGGTGTTAATGTAAGATATCTACAATTAGCACGGGGTGGACGTAATTATTGAAACGTATAATGGGGTGTTTCGTGAATAAGAAAAATATACTTTTTTTAATGCAAAAATAGGCAGGGGGTATTTTTAAGAATCTGTGGAATAACACCCCCAATGAAAATTAGTCAAAGGCAATAAGGATCTTGACAGCTTATCGTGTGTTATACGCGCGAATTTTGCGCCTGGATGTGTATTTTTTACCCTGCAAAGACCAAAATATCCTTTCAATTATAAATTTCAGAAATTACAGATTCACCCCAGAAAAATTAGGCCCCAAAATAAAGTTTTTCAAAATTTTCAATTCAGTCCTTAACACTTTCAGAAAAGCCATCTTCTCCAGATAACCCAGTTTTTTTTTTTTTCTTGAGGAGATGTAAATACCACAAGTCACTTCTTTCATTGATCTTGAACTCTGTAAACACTAATTGTACATGGACAACTTCAAAACAAACGATAAAAAATAGGAGTTATTTGCACATACCCTCCTGTGTAAGTTGTAATGGCTAAAAAGCCCCCCATGTTAAAATAATTATCAATTAACCCCCTATGTTGCATTTTATTTAGTTCACTGCCCGTGGTGGAAATAAATATGTTGACTAAAAGGAAGCCACTATACTGCCCTTCAATTTATAACATAAAATTAGAATTAATATATAATAGAAGCCAGAGTGCAATTTTACCAAACTTGTGAAACTTAAATTAGGGGACTGAATTGTAATTTTCCCAAACATAAAATAAAATTGGATTTAAATACAATTAATCCAAAACTTTGGATCAAATTGCAATTTTTAAATTTTCTTAAATAAAGAAAAAAAAGAAAAACACATTTTTTTTGGAAAAAAAAAGGAAAAAGAAAAGAAAAGAGAGAAAATTGCGTCTTCCCCAAAATTCTTCTTCCTCCATTGAAATTGCTACGACCATCGGCAAACTCCCATCGCCACCACCGGCAATCACCTCGTCAAGCCGCCGCTTCCAAATAAAGAGAAAGAACGTATCTTCCCAAACATTCTTCTTCCCCATTGCAATCACCACCACCACCTAACTCACAACACCACCTCCGGCAATCACATCTTCATGCCCCCGCCGCCGCCCGTTCCTTCCACCACCCGCCTCATCCGCTCTTCTCGTCCTCTCCACCGCCAACTTCTCCTTGCCAGTTCCACACCACTAGCCGATTCTTTTTTTGCAAATTCTAGAATCTTAGCAAGCCTAGCAAAATTACTAAAC